GGATGGGCAGAAGTTGGTCTGAAATGACAGCTTTTCTGATGCTTGATGTGTTTAAAAGAAAAACACTGGGGGGAGGGGGTTTTATTATTATTATTACCTTGGGATACTTTTGGGGGGGGGCGGGGGGGAGGAATATTAAAGTCGTATTTCTCAAAAAGATGCTTGGTGTCTACAGTAACAGACCAAGCATCACCTTCACCTCTGCAGAGACACTGACCTCTACAAAACACGCATCTTTGTAGCCTCAGGGCTGTAATTCCACAGCTGCTCAGAGCTTCTCATTTCCTTTTGCAACACAGCAGCTATAACCACAACCCCTCCTCCTGAGCAGTGTCTGCAAATCTGCTGCAATCGTAACCCGTCCCGCAATTACTGCTGCGCACACTCCTGTTATAACAGGACTGGTGTTGTCAGATCAGGCTTTCTGATTTGCTCACTCTTAAATCCACTTAGCTCAACTACTGGAAATCAACTGAAAGCAAGCCCTGGATTTATAATTATGATTTGAACTTCCATGTGATTGTGTCAAAAAGCTCAGAGGTGCAAGTCACATATCTCAGCATGTGTTTTAAGCCTGCAGCCATCCGATGTTAAAGCTGTTGTTCATGCCAAGCATGACCAGAAGCAGGATGTGCAGTTAGCTGGCATTCAGGTCCCTGGAAATTTTGTGGAAATTTTGTGTGGATGGTGTGTGTGCCATACAAGGGACACTTGCTGGCTTTGCTAACTGAAAAATGAAAATGCTTTAGAAATCACTACTACACAATATGCAGATGAGAGTCAACCAAGAGGCTGAATAATACAACTTTGTGTTTCAGAAGGTAGTCCACAAGAGAAGAATCTGCTTCATAAGGATTGAAACTGAGGAAGCGTACTTACTGACGGTAATCCAAGTTCACTTTCCATTGAATTTTAGTAAGTTTTTAAAGAAGCACCATGAAATTATTTTTTTAATCTGACTTCTACACTGTGCCACAAGTACCTTATTTTTCATTCTCCTAAGGTCAATGTTTTATTGATATTACTCATCACCCTGTGGAGCACTGAGAAGAGACTGAATGTTACTTTGAGGAGACCACACATAGATGGTGAAATGTCATTTGTCAGGGCTGTTGTTTGTAGTCTGTGTGACATACTGTTGTGTCAGTTCATGGGGATACATCTCACTGATGTGGCTCTAGTGTCTCTAATAATTAGTAAAATTTGGGCAACAGAAAAAATACTCAATTTTTCTTTGCAACAAGGTTGACTGACAATAAGTGCAACCAACATGAAACACTGGACTGTCTTTGCCTGTAGTGTTTTAGAAACAATCTCCAGTCTCATCTTCCATTAAAAGATCTCCTCTTTTGTCAAGATGAAGAAGCTGGAGAAGAGGATCTACAATAACTGTTCCATAATGGAATGCAAATTTGGTATTAGTCCTACAAATTCCTGCTGAAGGTGTAAAGAAGGATTGCTCAAAGGCAAGAAGAAATTATTTAAAATGAACAACATTAAGTTTTAAGTACTCTCCTGAGCCTGCCATGTATGGTTAAGGAGGAGGAGGATGTGGGCAGAAAGGCATGTCTGAAGAGACAGGAGAACTTGTGTAGCCCCCATCATTCTAATGGAACATGTACCTGCAATACATATTCCTCTTGTGAGCCATACTTTTGATATCAGACAGAACTAACTTGACAGCACTACAGTTTCACTATAATTAAGAAAGAATTAGATTCCTCTGGCTTGTTATCTTACTTTTCATTTTTGACCTGCATTATGCAGGATCAAGTTCTTCAAAAAAGCACGGAGAACGCTGCAATATGCAGTTGTATATACTTACATATATAAAATGTAAGTATATGCAACTACATTTGTGCACATTAAAAAAATTGCATCCAAACTAAGTTACAAGTACAGGTAAGCTTTGGAATAACTTTAATAGTGAGGTACAGTAAAATTCGTCCAGGAGTTCTCAAAATATCTGGACAGTTTTTTTCAGTTGTATTCACCTGTTTCATTACAATTCCTGTAAATATTCCTATTGTGAAAGATACAGCTCCTCAGTAGCCCCAGAGCAACATAAGGTAGGAAATATAAGACATGTGGCTGTTTTCCCTGGAGCTCTCATTGTTGATCTGTCTTTCCAGGGACGTTAATCTTAAAAACCGTAGACCAAACCATAAGAGAAAATGATGCAATTTTTTGGAGGATAACACATTATAAAAATAAGAAAAGAGGTTGGGAGCACCCCACATAAGAAGGACACAGACTTATTGGTGTAAGTCCAGAGGACAGCTACACAGATGCTGAGAGGGCTGGAGCACCTATCCTATGAAGACAGGCTGAGAGAGTTGGGATTGTTCAGCCCGGAGAAGAGTCCATGGAGAATTCTGAACATTCCAGTACCTGAAGGGCGCCTGCAGGAGAGATGGAAAGTGACTTTTTACAAGGGCATGTAGTGATAGGACAGGGGGAATTGTCTTTTAACTTAAAAGAAGGGAGGTTTAGATTAGATACTAGGAAAAAAATCTACTGTGAGGGTGATGAGGCACTGGATGCGGATGACCTATGTCTGGAAATCTTCAAAGCCAGGTTGGATGCAACTCTGAGCAACCTGATTTATTGGAAGGTGCCCTGCTCATGGCAGGGGGCTTGGATCTAAATGATCTTTCAGGTCCCTTCCAACCAAACCATTCTATGATTTTACAGTAAATTATTCAGAGACTGGCATTGATATGTATTCTTTATCTATGTATGCACAGTGCCCTATGAATATTAAATCAAATTGTGTTATTTGAGAACTACACCTTGTAGATTCATTAATACTTCATAGTTATGTCTTTGCCTTACATAAAGGCAGTTGGAAAAAAGCTACTTGATTTTGTTCTAGCCAGAATGAAAGTCTCAAATTTTTATTGAATGTAATCATGTTACTGTATTTATGTCCAGCTGCTCAGTGACTTTGGAATTGTTTATCCCATTTAAACCACTAGACAACTAAAACCAGGCTTATGAACAATCTGCTTTCAGTGCAATTTCACAAATGCCACCAGGAGACTCTAAGCATGCAGTTGTTTCCAGTTTCCCAGAGCTAGTTTTCCCTTTCTTCCAGGAAGGTTAAGACTGAGATAGTACCTGTATTAGTGCAAAACAAAGGCATTTCCTCTTATATATTTGGCCAGCCACACTATCTTGTGCAGGTGGATAGCTCAAGCTTTTGTGACTGCTCAGTCCCAGCAGGATGGATGATTTTGTTGTCTTTGTTTCCAGCAGCCGATTCAGATCCTTTTAAAGTTCCTTTGCCAGAACTCCTTGAAAAGTGAGCAGGAATTCAAAAGTAATGCCTCTACCTTCTTAACTGTTGAATGCTGGTCAGGCAGTGAAGGCAGGCTTATACAAATCATCTATTTTACTAGTTTCCTTCACTTTCCTTGCCACAGATAGCTCTGTGTTTCACTACTTCCACTAAGTTGCCTGTGAGAGAAAACTAGAGAAAGTTCCTTTTCTTCCATTCCTGTGTAGTTTGCTATAGGAAAAAAAAATCCAGTCATGTAATTGAGGAAAATGATGAAGGTCTATTAAAGCAGAAGAATTTCTGCCTGTATAAGGACTAGAGGATTAGGCTTTAACATACATGCTCTCCCAAAATCTCTCTTCTCTGCTTATCATATAATTATGACTTCAACTTCTCCTCCCTCAAATGAAGGCGTATCAAACTGCCATACATCATCTTAGAATAGGTTTTTACTATGCAGGATAGCTAACCTTTGTTCTCAATGACAGCACTTTAAAGATTTTCTCAACTTGCAACTTCTTGAACTTCTTGTTCATGATGCATGATGCTGGAGGTGCCTCCTTTCAAGCTCATCTCTTCTGCATTGGAATCCATGCACTTCTTGCTCTGGACCTAAATAACAAGACTGTGACCCTGATGCTATGAAAGCACTGCCCAAACCTTCCACTGGTCTGAAGAGCCAGAGCTACCTTTACATTCTCTTTAATGTTTCTGGATATCGATAACTTACGGCAGAAGCATTAAAAGTAAATAGTGTGGCACTGGAAGCACCTTCTTCTGGACATCTCTCTTTAAATTCCTATGTGGTTTCAGCCTAAAAATCCCAAAATGGAGTAGTACAAAATTTGTAGAAACTTCTGAAAACATCAGTGTTAGTCTCTATCCCCGTAAAGAATCTGTAAATTTCATTTGAATATTTTTGTCTTTTGCTGTTTGTTATGTGCATCATATCTGTCTTGCATTACAAATAAGAAATAGAGAACACATTTGTGTCCTAATTTTGGTAGCAATCCTCCCTTTTTAACATATCTAAGTACAAGACTAATCATTATAATTTTAAAAAGCCCATTCTTCACAGCTTAGGGGCTTAAACTTTTATATTCTTCCTTTATTCTGAATGTATGCCTCAGGAAACAACTCTCTGTAATAATCACCTTGCCTACACTTCTTCAGTCACACATTACATTCTCTCTCCCACTTTCTTTCAGGTTAATATTAGTGTTTGTCAGCAGCAGACTCTTTTTTCAAGGCTCTGAGTCATTACAGTAACAGTTATGTTCTCAATAGAGTTCAGGGTAGGAAAAATCCTGTAGCCCAATGCCTACATGTATCTGACTGTTAAGAGAACCAGAAGGCTACTCACTCCTTTCTCACGCCTTTTAAATGCCAAGTGTTCAATTACATTCCTCTTGAGATTTGGGAGGGTTTTTTGTTGGCTTTCTTTTTTTAATTTGGGAAAAAGTCAAATGTGATGTAGTAGGTTACTAAAGCTCACAGCAAGGAATCTTGGCTTCAGATTTTTCCTAAGTGTGATATGTTTTTTCCAAGTATTTCTTTAGCAGAGTTTGATTGGTTGGTATTATGGTCTAGCTCACAAAGCATTCAGTCTCTGCCTAGTCCTATATAGATACCTGTGTATGTTACAAAATCACTTCACCCATTATCCTAAACAGGGATCTATGCTGATAAGAGGTCCAGTCAATAGCAGACATTTTGCAAGTTTGGCTTCAGGCCTTGACAGAGCACAGGAAAAACAGAGAGCTAGAGAGTACAGTTTCTGGTTCTGTCTACTGCTGCCCTTCCCTGTCCTATCCCCTGAGATGCTCTGCTGTTCTTTGGAAACCAAGTCAGAGTACACATCTCGGTGGACTGCGCTTTAGCACAAGAGTTGTGCAGAACTTTCCCACTGAGCCTCAGGGGTATGTGAAGCCTTATCTGGGGATCATGCTTGAAACAGATCTGTTTCACCTGCACATTCCTCTAGGCTTTTCAACTGAACTGGATGTACTGGATTTCTGTTTCTGAGGGCTGAGCTCTTCCTGGACTGTGGGTCAAATCTGAGCCCACACTACCATCCTAGAGATTTTCTAATAAGGCAGGCAAGGATTTCCCTCATGATGATGAATAATGCTACAGAAGCATATAAATACATAGGCGCTGTTACCTTTCTTGTTGCTAAGTGCTCCCTAGTCGGAAAGAGCTCTTAGCAGTTGTCAGAAATGCTTCACTATAAAATAAACCGTAAATCCCTGAGATGGATGAAAGTACCAAGATGGATGATCTTGCAATGGCCAGGAGAGAGGTTGCTGGTGATTTCAATGACTTTGCTTGCCAGTAATGATTGAAGAATCATGCATATTGAAAGGGACACAGAAAAGAGGATCAGGATACATCAAAGGCTAAAGGATAGGTGCTATTAAGCATTCTCCAGCCTGCAAGCTTATAGTTTTTTCAGTTTCCTTCTGACTGATTCTTCTGAGAGATTGTGTCCCAAGGAAAAAACAAAAGTATTCCATATTGCTTGCAAACAAGTGTAATCCTTGGAGTGAGTGATGTTCCTGTCTTCCATTTTCCTCCTGAATCTCTGTTGTGCCAGCCTTTCTTTTTTTCCTGGTTTTATGTTAAAGAAAGCCAGCTGGGCTAAACAGGCAACTGGCCCCTGTTCCATAGGATAATGGATCCAATTATTATCAGAGGCCAGCTTGGAGGGACAGCTGTACAGCTATATAACTAAACAGCTATACAGCTACTGTTCAGTAGTCACCACAGCAAATACAAACCCTCCAAAATGCAAAGATGGAGGCGCTAGCAACTCTCCAAAATGCAAAGAAAGCAGCTTGCAGTGTTCTTGTGAATTGCTTTTGCTTTAATTCGTCCTTAGGAATGAAAATGTTTGTCACATCTCTGAAAACAGGAACACAGTTTGGTAAACCACATCTACCACTAAGGTGACAAGGCAGACACCTACTCAATCCAACTATATTTAGTGGAGTGCCAGTGTAGGAACAGCCATACCAGACTCTACTTGGAGTTCATGTAGCTTCTCTTTTGATGCTTTCTGGATGCTCTGGAAAAGAATATAAGAAGTCTTAGGAATGGGAAGCCATGTATTAATCTCTTCATGGGGGTTCTTACTTTCTAACTTGCTCAAAAAAACCCCTGTACTCTGAGGGTTTATTCATTTTCTTGGGTTTCTTCTAAAAAACAAACAAAAATCCTATGCTACTTCATATAGAGTTTTCTGATACTGAAAAGAAAATCCAATTTCTGAGAACCCACAGTTTTGAGCACCAGTAATGTTTGGTGGAAATGGATTTCAGAAAGCATTTATATCTGACCTTCTAAGCAAAATATCTGCAAAAATGGGAAAACTAGGTCTGACTACTTATTGACACTTCTCTTGACCAGCACTCCTGAGTTTAAATTTATCAAAGGATCATTTTATCATCGCCTTCCTCAATTTCTTACTCACTTCCAAAAAGGCTTTGGGGAACTTCTAAAGGACCTGATGGAAAAAGCAGGGTCATGATCCTCTTGTGAGTGACGCCCATGCCACTTAATAGCATGGCCCTTTTAGCCCCTAGTGCCTGGCTGGATCAGGATTCCAAACTATGTGCAGCTTCAGTAATAATAAATTAGATCAGCTGTAAGCCACAAAGAGATAACTGCTATGTTTCAGTTTATTAGCTATTCAAGCTCACTTTAAAACTTTTAAAAGGCAAATTATAATTGAAAATATCTCAATAGAAACATATTCTGCTTTCATGGTCTATGGATATGCATGTTTAAGCTATCATGCCATGACACTGTGCTCTTTGATTTATATTTTTACTGATGCTTTGACTGAGTAGTTTGTTGCAATGGACTGCTAAATGAAGGAAAAATCAAAAACTGCATCAGACAACCACTCTGTATTTCATTCTAGAAAATAGCTGGCAATTATAATTACTCACCATGTTTCTGGCTCAGAATAAAAGTGGCATTGCACAAAAAAACCACACTGAACATTCATTGTGATTAGAAAATGCTCCATACCTTAAAGTGCAGTGGAGACATAAGAATAATTTTAAATGCAAATTAAATTGTGGGGGTAGCAAAGAGAACAGATAAAAGACAGTAAAACAAAGCCTTTCACTTTCCTCAAATTAGCAGGCTAATGTAGTATAAAAAAAAGCGTTTCTACTCAGATCTGTGCTAAGAGCTTTCATTTCATCATAATATAAAACAGCAGATCCGTCACCTTTCTCTATTCACTACTCTTGATTTCGAGGTTGAAGTGAAAATTAGAAGCTGTTCTTTCTGGCTCAGACTGGGTTGCATTTTCTTAGTCTTATTCCATGACAGTAGGATGGAAAGAGGTCAGTAACACTGGTAAGTACTTCTGCATCTGATTTTATTTATTTATTTTTTAAATCTTTCAGTGCTTTGGCTTTTTGTCAATGTGCATTTCCTAAAAAAAGCTACATTGTGTATTTTGTAAAAGGCTGTATCTTAAGCAGAAATGCAACGATTCCTTGAGAATGCTTATATGAGATGTTAGAGCTCCTTCAAGAATGAATTAACTACTTGCAGTAGGAATTCTGTAATAGCAAAGGTTTCTCAATATTCTATATATTTCATAGCATCACTGCAACATTTTTTTGTGTTGCTTTTTCTATCTGCCTTGTCCAACAAGCAGTACCAGATAAGAAATTAATCTCTTCTCAAGATGTTATTTGCTTTATATTCATAGCAAAACAATCTCATTACCCTTATGGTAAATTATGGAGTAAGCAGGTATTTAGTACTTAGTATTTAGGTACTTAGTGAAAGCAAAGTATTAGATAAAACATAATGTTATGTTTAAATGTAACCATTATGACACGTTAAAAATATCTCCGAATACGAGATGCAACAAGGAAGACAGACGTTTAAAACAAATTCTTAAGAAAACTTGATACAGATTTCTTTTTTCCTTGTGAAAGTTTTTATCAAATCAAAACCAGGGGCTTAATTTTTAAGTACGAAGGGCGAGGGGGAGTGGGGGAGATGAACGTAGTGTCACCTCCTGTTGCTAAGTAACAACATCTCCTGGCCATTTTTATCTGATAAAGGAAGTCCAGTTGACGTTATGCATTATTCATCAGAGTTCCAATCAAACAATCAAAATTGTTTGCTTACACTGAGGACATTTAGTAAGATCAAAGAAACCCTCCTTGAAACTACTGGAGCTTACACCAGTGCCAGACAGCCCTTGATACTCTGCAGTAAGTATCATTTCTGGTTTGGGAGTGCTACAGTAAAGTGAATTGCTGTGGAACGTAAAAGTTTTCTCATCAGGACAGACTTCTGAATTTTAAAAGAACTTCATGTTGATTGATGAGAACTGAATCAAAGGAAAAAGGTAACGCTTTGGAAACCTAGTTTCCTGACTTTTCACAGCAAAACTGAAGGAATTACTTGAAGCAACAATCAGACTCCCTGCCTCAAACCTTTTTGTTAGGTTTGCACGGAAAAGGACTAGAGGTATTTTTGTCCGTCTGTCTTAAAATACATGTTGTTCAGGGTTGTTTGCATGCTTATGATTATATGCTGGGGTGAACTGTGATGTGGGTGAGAGAATGGGGTTGTGTATTTTCTGCAAATCTTGTTTTTTCTATGTGAGTTTTAAAGAGTGTAATAAAATGCAGAAGGTAGTACTGAAGCTGGAGAAGGGTCACAATATCTTTCCAGGAACTCTGCCGGGCACAGGCAAACATAATTCAGCTTGGAGAGTTGTAATCTAGGATCTTGGCAGGTCTACGATTTAAAAGGATGCCAAAAAAATGAACCTTAGCTACAAAACAGTGCTAGGAGTAGCCTACTATTTCTTAATGAATGCTCTTACCACATATTTTAAAATTGACGGTGAAATGTTCTGTTGCTACTTCTGGTCAGGAAGAGAAAAGGGGAAAGGCAAGGTTGGCTTCTGATCCACTTAGGTGGAGTGAAATATCCAGAATATTGTGTCTTCCTTTCTAGTGCAGTGTTTTGGCGTAAGTGGCAAGAATGCAATCCTTAGCATAGTCTGTTACAGTAGTGCCTACTCGGAGGTACTGGCTGTGAATCTGGCTGAAGGAGGTCCCTGTCCTGAGCTTTTCTGATTTTCTCTTTAAAGGCAAATGTAACAGGCAGATGAATCCAAGTATGTGTCTTAAGAAATCGAGACTGTGACTAGAATACAGGTGATTGTACGAGCAAGATACTAAGAATCTTGCTAATACTGCACTAGCACTTTTCTTTTTTGTCTTTAGACAAGGTTTTGAACTAAACTTTCTAAAATAGAGAAGGATGCATATGAAGTTCTATGAATAGTGACTTGAAAATACTTTGACCCTAATATGCCAGATGAAGTACTTTAGTGACTGCCTACACAATTCTTTCCACAAAGAAACCCACCAGCTTTTTTCTCTGACATCTCTGTATCTTTTCTAGGAATCTGACTGATCGTTCATACCGGAGTATTGTACACAAAGCACCTTCAAAATGGACTACTTTTTGGATGTCGAGTCTGCTCACAGACTGTTTTACAGTCAAGGAGCCCAAGGTAAGAAACTCTGGCACTGACCCAGAAAATCGCTAGTTTTACTGTACAGTTAAAATGTATATAGCCAGATAGGGGCCAGTGACTGATATACTTTAAGTGTTGAGAGGTCACAGGGTAAGGCCTTCAAAATTCCTGGCCTTTAAACGGGACTACAAGAGTAATGGTGGGGTTGATCTGCCCTCTCAGAGGATAAGGAAGAGCTGTTGCATGTGCTGTGGGAGGAAAAAGAGCTGCCAAGATACAGGTTCTGGTGTTGTAGAACCCAAATGGACAAGACAGAGGAGACAGCAATGGCCCGCAGCTTGCGGAGTAAGCCTGTGGTGTCCTTTCCCTTCCTCCTTTTTCTTCTCAGGGCTGACAGGATGGTAAGGTGATGTTATTCAGGAAAAAGTGGTTTGGGAAAGCCCTGAGGCAGTCCCCCACAGGGTTTGCAAACGGCAGTTCTCATTGGTCTTTATCATTCCCTGTGAAATGCTGTCCTCCACAGAGCACCAGCAGGGTGAGAAGGGAAGGGTAACCAAGATCCACTGCTTTAACATAGTTGAGACTTGTTCACGATATAGATGATATTTTTGGTAAAGTCAGTTCACATTTTTCTCACCAGCTCTATATTTGGAGAAAACTTGCAATTTCAGAGAGTTTTTTTTTCCCTTAAACTTTAAACACCATATTAAATTCAAGGAAACTGCAAGAGCCAAGTAGCTCTATCAGCCATTTTTGTTCCTACATACTGCCTGTTTTTTGAAAATGGGATCCATTTTTCTTCCACTACTAATTTCACTGGTTGCTAATCAAATGCAAAGTCTGGACAACAGAGTTTGGCCCTACCTCTGCAGGCTATTCTTCCAGAGCAAGATGTAATCCACCCACAAGATGCCACCATCCAAGGATAAGGGGGAGCAGTACCATCTCTGACCTTTGGCTCACCTGAGGTGCTGCTGCCTAACACATGATGTTTTACTTAGCTGCTGTCTCAGTTCTGATACGTTTTCATCTGTACCAGTTGCAGAAAGCCTTTCTTGTCACAACACAGCTTCCTGCATTGAACAAGAGAAGCAAATACTAAGCACCACAAAATCAGGGGAAAAAAACGCTGAGAGCAATGACTGATTTTGATGGGTTTTTTTCTCTATAGAATGCAACAAACAATTGGGCATTGCTACAGAAGTAAATTTGAAATATGTTCTTCAACCCTCTTTGAGCAGAAAGGTTGAACTAAATGACCTTCTGTGATCCCTTCCAAGCATAACTGTTCTGTGATATCTCTATGGGAACACACCATTTCTATTCCATTGAAACTAAAGTTAAGGAATATACATCTCACTGCTTTACAAACTATAGCAAATTATCAACAGCATCCCAATGCCTGCAACATACAGAGGCAGCTGTGGAAGAAAGAACATGTGATCGTGCAATGAAAGTCTATTTATGGTCATGTGCACATGTGACTAGAAAGGGTTGTGCAGGTCATCTTCACTGTAACTATATCCAAGCAGGAAAGATTGAAAAAACATTATCTTATCCATACTTGGAGAAATTAAATAGTTAGCAGATATAGAAATGCTTATACAGATCAGTTATTAAATTCAAAACAAGGAAAAGCTCATTATGCAAAACTGTATTCCTTGATACAAATGTTATCAGCAAGGGGTTGACCTCTAGATCTGTCATGTGGACTTCTATCCCTTGGCCAAAACAATTATGAACTAGCACTGAGATTTGGAGATTTTTTGTTTCCCTGCTGGGGAATGTTTCATGAAAGTTACCAATTACATGCTTCCCCTGTGCACCACTGTCCCACACCCTACCTACCTCCACAACTAGAAACACTGACAGAAAAGCCATGCTGCACTTAGGCTCTGTCTTCTGTCTCTTTCCACTTTTCACCTTTGTCATTGCTCTTTTTACTGCATTTCCCACAGCTCCTGCCCTTTGCATCTCTTACCTCTACAGGCTTGAGGTGAGGTCTCTTCCCCAAACTCTAGTAACCTCCCCTCTCTTCCTATTTCTGTGCTTGAGGACAGCTGCTCTCCAACAAGCTGAGTGCCAGAAGGGAAATTGCTCTGAGCATAGAAGAGACAGTGCTTCTGCTTTACATTCTCAAATGCTGCAACACAGTAGCCCTCTGGAAATAGGAGAGGTGCTTGAGAGGAAGAAAGATGAACAACTGCAGTGGCAATAGGATGTGAGACAAAATGTGGCCTGTGCAGAGAGAAGTTTCAGGAGGCTTTCTCTGAGACTCTCTGAGGTACCACAGACAGCTTCAGCAGGCTGAACAATAAGCCTCTAAAATAATTATAATCATCAAGCTTTTCTGCAGTAAATACCTTTATCACTATATTTAGCCCCAAACTTCTAAATATCCCCTTCCTCTCAGCTGCTTTATCCCCAGTACAGAACAAGGAACTCAAACCTATTGAGTGTGCATTCATGCTGCCTATACAGCTCTGCTAACTCCTGTTGCCCTTGTACCTTATGCCAAATTTAAAGGTTGTCTTCCAAAAATCAAGCACTTTTATATGAGATAACAGCATGATATCTCCAAACATGGGAAAAACCAACATATTTCTTTCCTTCTCCACCTTCTGAGAAACAGGACAACTGCTTTAGCTTTAACTTTCTGAAACCGCCCCCAAAACACACAGAATGCGAGGCACTCATCCGCAATAAATAGCATAGCTCAAGTAGCTAGTATGGAACTGAATAAAAGGTCTGTAAGAAAGCACTGTCGACAGATCTACCTAATGGGATTGCAAGTAACTATATGATGTTGATATAATTGCATGATGCTATTAGCAAATCACACTATCAAACAGCATGCGTATATGCATTAAAACTGCAATAAGAACTGAGTGAAAGAAGACTACAGTATTCTGCCATTTAATTAGAAACAACATCAGAAAACAGGATATGTATTATTAGTAGTGTAGTTATATTGTTAGCATTACAAAGTGCTCTGTTTACAAAATGTAGAATGGGGGTTTATGACCCATTCAACTCTTCTGTGAGACTTGAAGAACTCTGCCCTTTAGTATTCCAGATCAAGAAAAAAAGAAAAATCTTTGCAGTGTTTTCACATTAATGACATGACAATGTTACAAATGGCAGCTGTAAAGCACTTATTCTCATTTCTAGTCATTCCTTGCAGGTGGAAGAGAAGGGAGGGAATAGGACTGCACAATGTTGGGAAGGAACTCAAAGAGCAGTGATAATATTGACAACTGATGACATCAAATTCTACCTTGCCTGGGGTCTTTTGTAGTTCAATGTGATACTCTGACCTCAACAAATAGACTGAGACAGGACTTCATCCTCCAGCAACTAACCCATCACTTCTCTCTGCCTTGCTGCCTGCACTAACGCCCACGCCTTGCCCCCACTCTTGCAGAAAGATGCAAACTGCCTTTGCTGTTTTAGGGTAGGAGGAGAGAGGTGTTACTTTAGAAGCTGCCACCTCGCCCATCCTCTCCTCTGCAGGAGCAGCCATCACCTCACTTCCATGGGCTGAGCACCAAGCAAAGAAATGCTTGCCCGTTCAGGCTGTATCTGCTGTTCAAACAGCTGTTCCCTGTTTCCTTCAAGGAAAGTGAAGCAGGAGGGATGAAAAAGTCACAAAAGCTGTATCTGCTAGTAGGATTAGCTAGATTTAGAAAACTTGGTAAATGAAGCCAGCTGGCTGTAGTCTTCAAACACAAGACAGAAATATCCTAAGCTCTGCAGCCCTCCTGACTGTCTCTTCTGTACTGTATGTTGGAATCTAGGAGCTGGTGGGATGTCCTTGCCAAGTGCGTAATGCCTGGTGACGCATCTGCAAATCAGAAACAGGAAAGAAAGGACTGTGATCCCTTGGATCCAGCCTCTTGCCCTTGGAAAGCCTGAATCTGAAATCTAAGCATGAAGCTGGACTTTACTTTTTAAAAAAGCCTTCTCCTTCTGAAGTGTCTGTAAGATACTGGTTATTCTTGACTGCAAATGTATTATAAATACAAATCTATCATGGCTTTCAGCTGCAAGGGCTGAAAGTATGTAATGTGGCCTGGAATAGGATTTAGCTCACTTATTCCTTAGATGACTTCAGTGAAAATGTTTCCACCTAAGAGTTCTAACTAGCTTAGCATATATCAGAAAAAACCATAATTTTAAAAGCAGGGTTCACCTAATCTTGGCTATCTTCCTTGGGTTAATATAAGTCTTGACTCTACTGATTATGAAAGCCTAGACAGTGAACTTGAGTGAAAGATGCCTGTGCTAATGGCATTTGTTTGCATACAGGAATGTCAAGATAGCATCTAATTCAGAAAAGGGAGTAACTTCCCCAAAAATGGGTAAAGCTGTAATCCAAAGCTGTAAATAAAGATCTCATCTCAGCTGTAGCCTGCTTTGGAGAGACATCATTAATCTTGAAGTTCTATAAAAAAATTATGCTTTTGGGCATGCAAAGAAAGAATTCACATTTGACAGAGCTGAGCAGGCAGGCACTGAGGAGCAGCAGAAGTGAGCAGCTGTGTAAGGGGAAAAAAACCCCAGAGTCACCAAAACAGGCAGAGGCAGCAGCCTCACCTACGAGAGGTAAAGCATGGCAGGACAGAAGCCAAGCAGGTCTGGTGACAATCACCAAGTTTAGTCAGGAGTCCAGACCATCAGACAAGTCCATGGATGATGAGGCAGGCATGAGACTAAGCGGGACATGAAGTCAGCAGTCTGGATGTGGATCAGTGAGGAATGTAGCCAGCCACAGGCATAACTGAAGCCTGGCTCAGCACATGGGCAGTGGCCACAGCGTAAGTGTAACTCCAAAATCAGGGAGAAAGCAGATGTTGAGGTTTCTTGCTTCTTTCTCAAGAAGCTCTAAAGCTGGTCAGGGCCTCTTAAACCACTCTCTCTGTACCATATCAAAGAGCCTTGACCAGCCTTGAGCACAGCCTAAACTCTGTGCAGGGAGTGCACACATAGATGTTGACACCTGGCTTTCACCTAGGCTCCATCAGGATTAAGAACTGAGGAACCCCTCCCTCCCTCCCATTGTATACAAAGGGGTTGAGCACCTGGATGAATTCTGAGAGAAGAATAATTCCTGCCCAGTATATTGTAAGTGAAGGCTTTAGGTACCACCATAAAAGGGGATTTGCCCATCACAGACAGCACATAGCACTTTTCTGCAGCCATGATCTGATGGAATGAGGTCCAAGACTCACTCTCTCTTGCTGCCTCTAGCAACAGCACACCAGTCTGACAGCATGGGCTGCACAGTGTGGTGTCAGGATGCTAGTCTGGGCTGCAGGCATCCACCTGTGCACCACAGTGGGACTCTCAGGTCTCTCAAACAGGGAGTTCGAGTTCAGCTCTCAAATGACTTCTGATTCAATAAAACAGTTTCTAATTTCCTGGAGAGCTGTGCATCCACTTATATTCTTATATTCTTATATTTTATATCCTTTCGCACCAGCAGGGCACACCAACTTAAAATTAACTGTGTTAATTATTTTGAAGATTCTGCTACATTCCTTTAAGCTGCTTGCTAGGCCATGTGGTAAGATACACTGCACCTATTTAAATAACTGAACAAAACCCTCTTGCAGGTTTATCTTAAGCTATCAATTTACCTATAAATAAGTTACAGACACATTTACATTAGGAATGCTTTTACTGGTTGCAACATTAAAGTAATTTACTTGATTAACTTACATTCATTGGGATCATGAATGAATAAAAAATGGAAAGCAACAAAAATATGCAAATAAAAACATGGTGCATACAGCCAGGGGTAACAAGTTTGTATAGACACATAGGCCGTGATTGCTCAAAAGATTTCAGGAAATCATTCTTCTTGATAGGTTTAATAAAGTACTCTCAGGTATAGTTTTAATTCCACATTTTTCTCTTGTTCTATGTTTCCACAATATTTATTTCACTCTGCTTCATTTTTTGCTCATTTATTTTAATTCAATCAGTGCTGATTCATTCTAGATGTTTGATTTAATCACTGCTGACTCTTCATTGCTACTTTCCTTCTGCTTTTGCATATTAAATTGGGTCCAGTATTTTATAAAAACATATTGCTGCAGAATCCCCAGATCCTACTCCAGAATTATTCCACTCTGGATGTCCATCTATCCACAAAATGTTATGATTAATCCATCCAATATGTTAACATATTTTCAAAGTTATGATAGCTTCCAGGTCTATTTTATTTATGTGCTATCACTAGTTCTTAGACTGACATCAATATCAGAAGAATTAGTAACATCAAATGTGCATTCTTAATAAAATGTCCCTATCTTTAAATAACATCAAGAAACTGATCAACATCAACCTTTTCCTCATCCCTTTTAGAATTCTTTTCCCACTTCCTCTTCTGGAAGTGAATAATTCTCATTATTGAGAATTTCAGAACAGCCTACTCCTTTGGACAGAGAGAAACAAGCAAGTTTCACCTAAAATGTACAAAAAATGCTAGTTAGGTGTATTTTGCATACTTATTACCCAAATTCCACAAACCAGCAGAATAAATGTGTGCATATATGTGGATATCCTTTTGCATGGGTACTGTTTACAACCCTTGGGCCTGTGGTTGAATACGATGTATCCATATACTTTGTTTCAGATTACTGATGTCCATCAAGAGAGATTTCAACAGCTTTGCTTTAGAGACACGGAGCAATCCATATGCATGTGTTTCTGTGTTTATGTGGGAGACAAGCCTATAAATCTTTCTTCATAAATGACAAATTATGTCCCCTCCACATGTTCCACTCTGCCTCTCCTGCCACTCATACTCTGTTTCCCAAATCTAATCCTTCAAATGTAGTCCTTTCATCTTCTTTTAAATGCAACTGATAAAGTGAAATGGCATTAAACCAGACCAAAAGGTCTTTTTTCCTGGTAAACATTCAGTTGAATCCACTGCCTGCTTTGTCTTTAAGGAAAAATATTCACAGCCTAATAATGTTTCTTTAGCACAAAAGGAGTATCATGTGCTGGATGAATCAAAATGTACCCGAACTCATATTTTTAAAGATTCCATTTAGCCAAAAATACATTTCTGCATGCATTATCTACATGCAGATATTTTATGCCATGGTGAGCCCTCTCTACATAAGCATGAAGGAGAACTGAGTAAGATCTCATATGTTTCTCTAGCGAAAAAAAGCAGCAAGGAAGAAGTATCCTATTCAATCAGCAAAAGTAGGACTGCAATTAAAATATTTTTATAGGTATTTTACAAAGTCATTAAAAAAATTATCCCGAGAAACAAGGTATTCCTCAGAAAAGCCTTTAAGATTTCTGATGTAAACCAGCATCCCCCTTGTGGCCATTTCAGTGTTATTTGAAGCTTCTTGTGATTCTATGCATCAGGAGCACAACCTTTCTACATCTAGACATCTGCAAGAAACGTTTTAGCACTTTATTTGTACAAAGACAAAAATAATCATATTTCAAAGATTTTCCATTTTGAGTTCAAAATGTACTCTGCAAATTAGGGTTTCGAGGTGAAGACCCTATTGAGTAAAAAATGACCAGGGTACTTGTGTCACCAATTGTGTCACCAATGAGCTATTTTAATAAAGGCTGATTGGTAAAAGTAGATGGAAAAATCTAAACAAATCTTCCATGTTTTCTCCAATTAATTTTTAGGAAGATCCCATTTCACCTCTAAAATTTTTCAAATTAACTTTTTTTCCTAAATAACACAACTCTAAAAAAATCAATACTATAACTCTTCAAAACATAAAGGTATCTCTTGGCAAACAAAAATTACTACTAACATTTTTATTAAAATATGTGGAAAAATATCTTAATGGAAAAAATGGAAAGCATCAAAAATTTTTTGCAAACCACCCTTCATGTTTTCAGTAAGTTTAAGGAGTATTCAAAAATTGGGACAAGCTATAGATCTAACTAAACATATTGAAATTATATGTTAAAAATGCCTCTGAACTTGTAATACAAAAATTTACATATTTTACTTTCCCTTCTCCCACACACATACTTGTGTTGCTCTTCAGTAATGTATGATATTTTAAGACAAACAAATGGGAGATTATATATAATCAATTCTAATATGTCAATGATGCGCATTACAGCATTTATAGATTTAAGGAATTTTTCTCTTCATAAGCAACTTTTTCCCTTTTCTAACAAATACCAGAGAAGACATTGCCACAGTGTTCCAATTGGAGTGTAAGCCTATGAGGAACAATGAAAATAGAATGAAAGAATTGATCAAAATTACTTATTTCTCTTCTGCATGCTGTTACAGTGGCTCCTTAAACTGAGCTTTTCAACACATCTCAAATCCATTCACAGAGTAAGCGAGTCCCTTAATGTATATTGTAATGTCATTCCATTGCTCCAAGACCTTCAAGAGGATACTTCCTAATTTTCCTGAAAAACTATCTCCTAAAAGTATGTCCCAGAGACTGAGCTGGTTTGTGGAGAGCAGCTGAAGCTGGAGATACTGGTGGGTTACCTGTGATGGACCAAGAGTCACACTGGGAATACACTGACAGCTTTACTAAAAAATGTATGGCAAGTTATTCTTGAAATAGACCGCCGTGGATTTGGAAAAGACTGTGTACAGTTATATTCATGGCAGGCATAAACACTCAGTGTCACTCTGTAGATACCAGGATGTCATCAGCTATACTTTTCAGTTCTGGAATTGATCTTAGGTTTTTATTGCAAAATGTTTTAATGCTTATTAGCCTACTCTGAAATGTTTTCAATGTTTACTTAAAATTTCCAGTCATTCTTGAAAACTCCTTTTGGTAATATACACAAAGGGTAGATAATGACGGTTGTCAAAGTAATACATAATGACTACTCCAAGAAATATTTTCTAGCATACACCTACCTGCAGTCAAAATGAATACAAGCCAGATCCCAATATTTTGACCCAAAAGGTAAAAATGATTTATAAACAATTATATAGAAAAGCTGATTCTTATTCTCTGTTTACTATAAACGTATATCTAGTTTGGCATTAGGATTTTTTTCAGATATATTTCTGTCCTGTGATCCAGCTAGCCCTGAAATGCATGAGTGCTCTTTCACTGACTTTAACTACAGCTAGATCACACCAGTTTTAAAAGACAAATCTTTTACATGGTTGTTTTATGAGATGACTTTTACAGCGCTGACTTCTTGTACAGAGAAATCTTCCTTAAGTGTAAATTTGAAGATGCAGTACACAAAATTTTCCATAACAGAAATTTTCCATTCTCTTTTATCTTCATTACTGTACTTCCCTATTAGAAGGGAGGAATGGTTTACAGCCTACTTGCAGTGTTTACTTTAGCTTAATCTAATTAGTTGACCCCATTAAATCAATTTCAACTCCTGCCCTTTGCTTTTACTTCAAGTTCAAATGCTATGTTAGAAATGAGCAAAAACTTGAAAGAAATCTATTTAAAAACAGAAAATAAGTAAGTTAGACCAGAAATAACCTCTACCTCCAGCAGCACAGATTTACTTGTTTAGTAAGCTACGTAATACTGCAAATTAAAAAATAGAGCATGACAGCTTTTGTTAACTCATACTAATTATATGCTATCATACCTAACACCTTAGTCAGATCTTAGGCATCTGAAAGCTACTGATTGACAGGTCTCATTTGAAACTCTAAAAGACTTTATTTTAAAATAAAGAATCACAGCTAGTAGGTTGCAGAATATGCTCTTAGTCACTACCAGTCATGCTCTCCAGTCCCAATGGGAGAATATAGTTCACTGTTAGTTATTTGAAGTGTAATGCTTTACAAAAACCCTGAGATGAAGACTCTTATGCTAGATAATGTTTCAGCAAGAAACATTTAGTGTTTAGGCTCATAGGCTCTTACAGGGTCCCACACAGTAGCTAATGTTAATAGGCCCACATTGCAGGTAAGGATGGGCTTTCAAGGAGAAATTCTCTTTCCAGTTACATATGAGGTGGAGGAGAAAGTACTTGTGCATGGTCCTCGAGATTTCAATGATCAGCCACATCCCAACTAGCATTTGTGATAATCTTTATCTACTCAGAGAGAGAGAGTTTAGGTGGTTATATTTGTAGAGGCTCTTCTCTTTGTGATTTGTAATTTATAGGCTCAGTGCCCAAGGCATTCAAGAGCCACTCATAATTACATTTTACACATGAAACACCTACATTTAGGGGCCTTATCAAGGCTATAAGGTCTAGAGCTAAATACCTAGGCAATGTGCAAATGAAGGTTGCCTCTTCAACATTAATTGTCTTCTTATACATATGGATTATAGTAGGACTTCTAATTGCATGATAACAGCAATTTTTTACCATCCTAACATTTGCTTCATCAGTGCATGGAGTGGGCAGTGCTCACTGGCAGAGCCAGTATTAAATATTTTGCTTTCTCCTCCTTGAATGCATGGCCCCAAGCCATTTAAATCCTGTTCAGAAGATACTCTCCTCATGGGTTTTTCACTGGTGCTTCACTAAAATATATTAATACTTTACAATATTAATGGATTTATATGTTCACAAAATTCCTACTGAATGAAAATTATGTTTCTCCCTGCTCCACAACTAAGAAATTAAGACATAAAGTGATCAAGAGCAAAAAAAGTAGCTGTTAATTTTAAATGCTCAAGACGGGACCGCAAGAAACTGATTTTTGGAATAGTTCGCATCTTGTCAAGGATAATAATCCCATCATGTTCCAAGTACAGCTTCCACTGATATCTGCAAATTAACCAACCACTTAAATATTTCCGCTACTCAGGTATCACAGCCTCAAAAACAGCATTCAGGAAAAGAGAGACTGCAGCGATTGAGAAGCTGAGAAAATAATTGTTTTCATGGCAAAACTAGAACTTGGAACGAGCAACCTCGTTGAGGCAGCAACAGAGCTGTAACCTCTGTCTTTGGGGCACACAAGACAGCAATTTTTTCTTGGTATCATTCAGTCCAGCCATTAAATTCTGCAGCATGTAGAATATAAGACAAGGACCTTATAGCAAACAGCCTGTTCTACTACAAGCTACAGATCATCTCTTCTTTGAGTGATTTTCTTTCTCTTTTCTAGTCTTTTCTTTCAATTACTATTATTCTTTTTCTACCTCCTTCTCCCCCTTTCTATTTCTCTGTTCTCCTCCTATTCTCATCTTCATTTATTTCTTCTAACCAGCTCGTCGGGCAACTCTTCTCACTGTGCCCACTCTGGTGACAGCAACTTCTGAGGATGACATAGACCGGAGACCCATCAGAAGACTCCGGTCTAAGAGTGACACCCCTTACTTGGAAGAGGCTCGGATCTGCTTCAATCTTGATAATGGTAAGACCACACCTTTCCCAGACAGCGTACGCTGTCAATTAAAAACTTTTTTTTGAGATGCAGATGGACCAGATGGTCTCTCCTCATTCACAAGCGATGTGGTGGTTCACCAGACATACAAAGATGCCAAGGCTGTCTAACTACAAACACCTGCATATGTATGAATAGGGATCATTTTCAAAATTCTCCTGCAAGTGCTAACTAAAACTTTTTTTCTGTTTTAGCCAGGGTGAGCTAGTGAGATCACATCAAAACAGAACTGATTAGCAAACAAAATATATCTTATCCATTCCAAGCATCCAGAAACATGAAAAGTTCTTGAGAACATTTATGAAGGGATTACAGCTAACAGCAAACTTGAGCTAAACTCAATGTTACTGCCACTGAAGAACATGCAGCACAACCCAAAACCGCAATAGGACTAATTGGCAAACAGTAACAGAAAACTCTTGACTCTGCAGGAATAAGTAAGAGAGCTGCCTTCAAAATGCAGACCAACTAGTGTTATTATCACTGCCTTCAGAGTTAGTGAGCCCCAACATTCCTTCCCTGGTCTTTTCTTCTCATTGAAGTTGACCAACACAAAATAATTTGGAAGTACTGACAACTTAGAGACTTTAAGCAGAGTGGGTCTTGATTTTTTTTCTAAAAAGCCCTGAATTAAATGACATGAGCTAGTACACTCTTAGGCATATATTTTAACTGTCTAACTCTTACTTTACATAGTAATTTTGTGCTACCCACTTTTTTAAAATAGCATTTTTAATTATTTATATTACACTAACCAACAGAAATTGGAGCCCTAATGTGGCAGGCAGCCTATAAACCACAGGGTAAGAACGTCTACATAAAGAGCTGATTGCTAAACAGAGTTGCCACAAAACACCAAGCCCAGTTTGCAGCCAGAGAACTGAGTGTCTGGCTTTTGCAGGTAGTCACAGTTTTCTTAAAGACCTGCTGAAGCGACTTAGGAAGGCGAGCACGGGCTTTGACTGATGGTCAGTTTCAAACGTTGAGTGCAGGCTCCTCACTCCCTTTGGCATTCTAAACTGTCAAGGTGTGGCACACCATCCCGCTTTACGTCATGGGTTTGCCCAAGGAAAGAGGGCAAGGAGGTGAAGGGATGCACCGTTAGACATCCCACCGAGTCCCGATGCAGCCGTGCTGTGAGTTCCGGACGCCCTGGGCTAGAAGGGAGCAATTCGGGGCGCCGGGCTGGCTGCGGGGCGGCACCTCTGCGGCCAGGCCCATCGGCGGCGTTTGTCCCCTCAGCCGGGACCTCCCTGGGGGCGGGAAAGGCGCTCGGCCGGAGCCTGCCCGGGGCGGGGGCCGCGGCGCGGGGCCGGGGACACCGCTCGGTCCCCCGCAGCGGAGGCGGGCGGGACTCGGCAGGGGCAGCGGGCAGGGCCGCCGCGGCCGCTCCCGTCCGCAGATCCTTGACGGGTTTTCCCTGTGTCTCCCCCTCCCTCCCCGCGCTCCTTTCTCCCTTTCCCTCTCTCCTTCCCCGTCCTCCCCTCCCCCTCCCGCGCCTCTCTCCCTCCTCTCTTCCCCTCTCTCCCCCTCCGCCCCCTCCTCGCCCGGCTGCCCCGCGCCGCCGCTCGCCAGCTCGCCGGGCCACGCTGCTCACCGTGCCCACATTAATGGCGGCATCTTCCGAGGAGGACATCGACCGCAGACCCATCCGCCGCGTCCGCTCCAAGAGCGACACCCCCTACCTCGCCGAGGCCCGCATCTCCTTAAACCTCGACACAGGTGAGAGGCGGCCCGGCCCGGCGCGGCCGGCGGCGGGGAAAGCAGGGAGGGAAGGGGCCGCCCCCGCCCTCCGCCCCTGCCGGGCCCCCGGGCGCCGCCGCCCGGCTCTGCCCCGCTGCCCGCACCTTCGCACCTCACCGGCCTCCCTGGCCCTGGCCCGCAGGCGGCTCCCCCTGCCCCGCGCCTCTCACCTGGGTGAGCCACGCTCGGCTGCCCTTCTCCGTTTAGCCCCTCGAAGCTTCCCCTCGCCCAGAGCGCCGCCCTCTCGCCCTGCACAGCGGCGTGGCGCATCCCCTCAAAGCTTCTGCACTGTCCCTCCTCGCCAGGTGCTAGCATCCCTCCTGGAGATGCTGCCCTTGGTGTTTTGTAAGTCTCTCCCTGGCTCGCTCTTTGCCTTCTTCCCCTGATGGGTTTGTGACTCAGAAGTGCAAGGAAACTTGCACCTGCGTTGTCCACTCAGTTTCATGATTGTCTCAGCGTTGCCTTTTGGGACTCTTGATGGGTTTACAGCCTGATGGTTTCTACCAACACACCTCCAGTTCCCTGCATTCACCTCCTTCTGCCTATTATTGGGATGAACCTCCTGTTGTTCTCCACCTGACCTTTCCTTCCCCTTTCTCCACTACTGTGCCTTCCTTTTTGCCACCTCTTCCTCACGACTCCCTTGAGATTTAAGCTGTCCCCTTCAGTTCATCCTGCACATGATGAAACTATCCTTTTTCTTCCTACTAGGCCTGTGGTTTTCCCTCCTTTCTTGACCTTTCCTTATGAGCTCTTGTCAACAGCAAACTAACTACACCAGAGGTTACTTGCTCTCAAAAACAAAAGAAAAGAAAGTTCTTTCTGCTGGTTCTCTGCACCAAACCAGACTTCCTCTATTTGGGAAGGGGGACAACATGAGGGAGGATCTGTAGCCAGCAATACTGCAGCCTCCCTCATGTCCCAGCAGTAGCACACAAAATGACCCAACTGTGTAACATTCTTTGATGCTGAGCCTGTGAGCTCACTGCCAGCTGTAAAGGGAAAAGAGCTGCCTTGGAGTTGCTGCTTGCCCTGCTGCAGTCTCTCCTGTCCCTCCTCCCCCTTTTCAGCTGGCAGAAAGTTGGAGATGCCAGAGATGCATTTTCTTTTCCATTTGGGGATGGAACAGATTTCCCTTCCCCCTCCTGTTATCCCTGCTGCAATTGCACCCTTGGTAATGGCTGATCCACATTTTGGTTTTACCACTGGCAGAATGGTTGGTTACATTGTAATGGCATGTCATTATTTCTCTCTGATCACGACTTCTTAAAAATTACCAAACCATGGGTAAGTTGGGTGGCATTCCAGGGCAGAGGGTGGAAGACCGTGCCAAGTGCCAGGCTTCAGCTCTATAAAGAACTGGAAGTGAAAACAGAAAGAGCATCACTGTGTGTGAGGTGTAAATAAAAAAAGGCTGTGTATGGTTATTTGAGTGCTGAAATAACACTGTGCTGACTGGTGTTCTCCCAGGTAATGTTATGACATGTAGTTATAAATAGATAAACCAGCTAAGAGCAAGGCACCTTCAGGTCACCTAGTGCCTCACATCTCTATGCTGAGCTAGACATGCTGTCTTTGCTACAAGTCCCAGAGGATGTGCAAGTCTCAAGGTACCTTTTTCCTGCAATCCACCAAAGAATTTGGTAATTACACTTAGCTTCTTTCTGTTCCTCCCCTCCTCCTGGCTCTCTATAATTTGGGTCTTTACTTGCAAACCTGGGAATGGAATTCCTTAAAAAAGAAATAATTAAAAGAAACAGTACTGGTGTATCAAGAAATATAAATGAAAAATGTTGTAAGTAGTGCAAGTGTGTGTTTTCATCAATCCATCTGGCAGTGAGTAGTAAAAAAAAAATAAAATTGCGTAGCAACTAGTATTGAGTGAGTGAGCCAAAAAGCAAGTGAAACATGCTGCTGATACCCACTTCATTTCTGAGCTGTTGGGTTTACTCTTCTGTTTGCTCAGAAAGAACAAACCAAGCTGCCTGGGTATGAGAACTGTCTAGTTTGAGGAAAAAGCCACTAGAAAATGTGTTCGGCCACTTTTGCTCATGCTTGATAATGCCACGCAGTTCAGGCTTTCCTTTTGAAACTTATGTTTGTGAGGTGTGGTGTCCTTGCCTTTATTTTTTTGGCTCTGTGTGTGGGAAGGGGGGTGAAAACACCCTGTTTCTAAGCTGCCCAGGTTTCCATTTGCAGTCTCGTTGCTGGTGTCTCTGCTACTGTGCCACAGAGGGTACCAGGTCGCCCTTGGTGTCCCAGTGCCCTGCATGTGGAGGGGCCCGACCTCCTGCCCAGGAGCCTGGGCGCTGTCCGCCGCCCCCGGTGCTGAAGCCGCTCCGCCGGGGGTGGAAGACGCGTGTCCTTCCTTGCCTCGTTCTGCTTGTCTGTCCGTGGGCTGGCAGCGCATGTGTGTGCACAGGGTTGTGTGTATCTATTTGCCTGTGCAAGGGGAGAGTGGTAGGAAGGAAGTAAAGCTGTTTCTTCAACCCACGGATGCAGTCGAAGCTAAAGTGATGCTCGGGGCACAGGAAAGAACCTCTTCCTTCTGTGCTTATTGTTTGCTTTCCATTTATTGCATTCCATATCTGCACTTGCTGCTCAACTACTGCTTACAGAGCTATTTTTCCAACAGCTGTTATGAGTCAAGCTGCATTCCCCAGTCATTGTCTTCTGTCAGGAGGTGGTCAAAGTTTGGCTGCAGCATGCAGGATCTGCTTTGCAGTATTGGGACTTCAAATCCACTTTTATTAAAGAACTACAAACAGATACAGTGAATACTGCTCTTCTCCACCCTTAATTGCAACCATTAGTTAAGAACTATCAGGTTTTTAATCTACTTCAGCTGTGAGTTATAATTATACCATTACTGCTGTTATCTGTATTGTCGAACAACTGAGATTGCATATACAGAGTCAATTATACAGTTTGGTTGTAGCATGTATTTGGTCTGAGTCTTTAAAAAACACAATTTGCAAGTGATTAACAGTGCAGCTTCCATCTCCCCTTGTCTTTTGATTATATTAACAGCTCTGCTTTGTTTGATTTTCCAAAACATACTAGTTTATTATGTTTGTTTCTAAATATTGATCAATTAACTCAGAATTATTACCTTGCATGAGTTGACAAATGCTGTTCGATTACTTGTGCCTGGTATGGTTTTTTGTTTGGTGTTCCCAAACTGATTAAAATACCGCATTGTTTTCCAAACCCAGGGTTATTCTTTCTATTATTATACATATGCAAATCCTATTAATCTGAGTTATGTGCTCATATCAAGAGGATAATATTTCCCAAAGGATTAAAATTACCTCTTCTGCCAAAATTAATGTAGCTATGTAACATCATAAAGCTATAGGCAGCTATAAATTCTTTTTCCATATTTGATACTAAATCAGTTCCATACAGAAATTAATTTTTTATTTTCTCAACAACTTCCTCCAGTGCAATACTAGAGGTGTGTGGAATGTGCTCTCACTTTTGGCTGGTGGTCTTTTGTTTTCGTTATTATGATTAGCAATCTGGCATTGCACCATCTCTGAACATTCATCTTTCTACACATCTCCTTAAAAGCAGTTTTCAAATTTCCTTTCTAACTTTCTTTCAGGCATCTAAAGGCTAATCCCAAATTACTTCTGAAAACTTGTTCAGTTGTGACAGTTGCCCAATAGCATAATTACTTTCCTGGTCCTGTGCCAGCTGATAAGTTCAAGTGGTTTTTATCAGTTTTGACCTGTTATAGGTTTTGGCTGATTTCTATTCTTCCTGTTGCAAAATACTGTACTTTTAAAATAGCAATGCATGGTAGGTAGCTTTCAAGCTTGATAAATTGGCAGAGGTGACGACTGATAAGGAAATAGACTGCTTAAAAGTCACTAAAAGATGCAAGATGTATGAGCTTTTCTCCTCCTTCTCCCTTCATGCAACTGCTGGGGGAATCCCTGTCAGAATGTTATTGATGTTTGTTAGGGAAGGAGGGGACTACTGCACTGAGTTGATCTGGTCAGGTTCTTTTAGCCTTTCAAGTGTTAGTCATTATTGAAGCTATTTCTATATACAGACACATACTCTTACGCCTCTCTAGCCAAAAAAAATAGTAAGCTTTGCACTGCAATCCTCTGCAAAGCTAATTCTAGCAGACTGACTTCTTGTTAAGTGGTGCAAGAAGCTGTCTTTGTCTCAGCTCAATCATTCAGGGAAGCCACCAAATGTCAGCTTTTGTTTCAGCGAGGCTGATTGTCTACTTATTTAACCTGGGAATGGAGATTCAGGGAGAAAGCAAGCCAATGCCTTGGAGAAGGTGTAAGGCCAGAATGACTAGAGTAGCTGTACTAGGGGTCAGCAAAGAGGGGATGTTCCTTCTGAAAAAGTTAGCTTCCATGCTGTGAAATGGGGAGAGGGGGGATTTTGAATGTGAATATATTCCTCCCACACTGACTTCAAAGTGTGTACCAGTGGTGCAACCAAACAGAAGCCAGAGGAGCAGCAGGAGAAGTGCAGGAGCTGGCCTCTGAAGAGAGAGGAAGGAGGAGGGAAAGAGGTAGTGACAGAGCTCGATAGAGATGTTGCAGCCTGTGCAAGCTATGGAGCTCAGCTGGCTCGCATGGCCCTGGAGCGTAGCACAGATTTTTAGTGCACTGAAGTCACTCGGTAATCTCACTGAAGTAGCTGGATCCTCAAGTGATTTAAGTCATTTGTTGACTTCAGCTAGGGATCTGAGCCAGACTGTAGAAATATACATCTCTGCTCCCCTTCAATGATGAAAGATCTGTTTTATCTCTTTCTGGTGTGGAGCCACATGTTGTCTTGGAATGTATTCTGAGAAAGCAAAGCTGAGAGGGAAAGGTCTTAGTGGTTGTGCATAATTTTGCCATGGGTACAGAAGAAGGGTCCTTGTGTCTCGAAAGGCAAGTGAACTTGGTACCATATACTGTTCTTAAGCAGTGATGAATAAATCACACTGGGGAGAAGAAAAAAAT